CAGAGGCCAGAAGAGGACATCAGATCGCCTGGGAGTGATAGAGGGTTGTAAGCTGCCATATGCGTGCTGGGAATTGAACCTGGGTCCTCTGGAAGAGGTCTCTCCTGCCCCTTATAGTAATTTTCTAATGCAGAAACGGAGGGAAAGAAGGCATACTCCTTTAGTTCAAGACACTAGTAATCGGGGGAAGAGGACATGCTCTGTGGTGAAGCCACACATGCTGCTCTTGCAGATCTGAGCTCTGTTTCCAGCACTCACATCAGGTGGCTCACAACCTCCTGGAACTCCAGCTCCAGGGGAATCCTGCACCCCTGGCCCTCCTGAGCAACAGCATTCATGTGCAGATACCCACACACAGACACAGACACATACACATAAAGAAAGTTTTAAGCTAAGAAGCTAGTGATCTAAAAAAGAAACATGGGTTCTTGTGGGCAGTGAGGCACACAAAAGCACGTGAGTGCAAATGCTCCCGCCCCCAAATCCATTTGTAGGAGAATCTCTGCTTCATGGAATGCAAGTCTTACTTGGGCATCTCTCTTCCAAGGCTGACTTTAATAATAGGTTTGGTACAGTTAGGGCTGTTCCAGAGGCAGCTGTTCAGGAGACTGTAACAACATTGCCTGTCTGTCTGTCTGTCTTTCTTTTTCTTGACAGGGTTTCTCCGTGTAGCCCTGGCTGTCCTGGAACTCACAGTGTAGAACAGGCTGGTCTCAAACAGAGATCCATCCTCCTGCCTGCGCCTCCCAAGTGCCGGGACTTTATTCAATTCGTTCTCACTGAGGCCTCCCTTAAATGTGAAAATGGGTTCTTCTGGACAAATGATCTTCTAGAGTATTGATTTTGAAAAGAGAGATTACCAATTCTAGTCTTTAAAAGGGTTGGACTGTCTTCCTTCTGCATGGAGTCATGGGCTATGACATGGAAAATAGAGGAGAGAAGCCAGGGAAGCCGCCAGGACACTTACACAGAGGACAAATCATTTCCTGGGGACAGAGGTGGAAGCCTTGGGGAAAATAATGTGCACAGGGGTGAACTGCCCTGGAAAGAAAATGCCCATGACTGCTTTTTCTGTTTTAGTTTTTCTAGTTTCAAGATAAAAAAATAATACTACTAATAAGAAATTATGCTTTCATAATGGTATAGTTTAGAAGGTCAAAACATTTTCATTTGTTTATTGCGTGTGTGAGTGTGTGTGTGTACATGTTCAGCATATATGCAGAGGTTAGAGGTCAACTTTTTATTTATTTATTTATTCATTATTTTATGTATATAAGTGCTCATTTTCATGCACATCAGAAGGGGGAATCAGATCTCATAAATGGTTGTCAGCCACCATATTGTTGCTTGGAATTGAACTCAGGACCTCTGAAAGAGCAGACAGTGCTCTTAATCTCTGAGCCATCTCTTCAACCCGAGAGGTCAACTTTTCAACAGTCTGTCCTTTCCTTCCTTCCTTCCTTCCTTCCTTCCTTCCTTCCTTCCTTCCTTCCTTCCTTCCTCTCTCTTTCTCTCTTTCCCTCTCTCTCTCTCTCTCTCTCTCTCTCTCTCTCTCTCTCTCTTTCTTTCCTTCTACTATGGGGGTTCCAGGATCAAACTCGGGTCATCATAAGCTCAGCAGTGAAAGCCTTGACCCACTGAGCCATCCTGCTGGGTTTATAAAGGTTTCCATACTTCATGAAGATAGAAACATCCTCCACAAGTGTTAAGTTAGGGAAGGTACTTACAGATCAATATTATTTTTAGAAAATTTTTTATAGGTGTAGATGTTTTGCCTCCATGTATAATATCTGTGTACCATGAGTGTCCTGAGGCCAGAGCAGGGTGCTGGATCCCTTGGAACTGGAGTCACAGACACAGGTAAGCTGTTGTGTGTGTGTGCTGGGAACTGAACCCCGGGTCCTCTGGAAGAGGTATTCTTAACTGCTGAGCCATAATGTGGTCAAAAGAGCTTTCATTCTTCCATTTAAAGCTCTGCAGTATCCACAGGGCCATGGAAAGATGGAAAAAGAGCACTAGGAAGAGAGGACCAGTTCCTGCCAAGTGAGCTGGTAGAGGAATTTGCAGGCCCATGTGGCAATGACTAATGTTGCACAATGATGTCTTCTTGGTCCACATGCAGGGGCACACTCTTCCACACACATCCACACACACTCACACATACCACGTGCTTACACATACACAAACACATATACACACACTCTCACATACAAACACACACACACACATACACACACAGCTCTTCTCATCTTCCAGGTTAATATTCTACGGTGTTATACTTGCATCAGGGGAGAAATATAAAAGAAGCTGTTTTAGCCTCAGTCACCCACGTTTTCTGCTGTGATGGGACTCGGGCAGTGACCCAGCCAAAGTTAAAGGTTTACAGTCATCTGGGGACTTGTTAAGAATGGGGATCCACGGGCTCACTGCCTGAGTTCTGATTCAGCACTACTAAACACCAAAACTCGAAGCCTCCGAGGTGGCTGAGGCGTGAAAGCCAGGTTTGGAGCCACTGGTGAGTGACCTTCTGACACGGCTGGGTGCTGTCTACTGTTGCTATGGAAACCACTGATGTAGACCTGGGCCTGACTGGATTTTTTGATTTTATTATTATTATTATTATTAAGCACATATCTGTTTCAAAAAAATAGAGGACATTATTTTTGAAGGGGAAGATGCATTCTTTCTCCCTAGATATTTGTATTTAGTGTGAAAAAACAAGGGTTTCACAAGCAGAAAGATGGTGTCATTTGAAACCACTGGGCAGAAGGGGAAGTCCTTTCCCACATGAACCTAAATGGAAGGAACTGACAAGCAGTTATTTCCTGACACAAGTTCCAGGCCATCAGGAGCATCCGTCAGGTTCTAGCTGAGGTAAGACACCCTGCTGGAAGAGTCTGGGGCTCATGGGCCTTCTTGGTAGTGGGGTGAGGGATGGCTAGCCAGTATGGCGGCAAGGCTCTGGAGGCCCTGGCTTGAGGCCTCTGGAAGTTGCCAACGCCTCAGGGCTGAGGAATTGGGTGAGCTACGCTGACAAACACACCACATGTACTCTGCCTGCAGAAAGACAAGGCAGAGAAGATGCAGGAGGGAGGGACTGAGAGATGGTTTCTGTCACGGTGTGCTGCAGGGCTGGCCCAATGAATTTAGGGCTTGGTGGACTGTTCTCTTTTCTTTCATTTAAAAATTTGAACCCAAGAGGCTGGCATCACAGATAGAAGGTTCCTGTGCTTCACTGATGTTTGTAAACCTGAGAGATCTCAGGGACCAAGACAGAGTTTTCCTTCTAAAGATGCTATTTGGGACCGTCACTATGACAGTTCCTATCACACCAAGGAGGCCAGGGGTCCTGTGGGCACTGGAGTGACACATCCCCACAGGTCTGTGCATTGGCTGCGCCTTGTCTTAACCAGAATTCTCCCTTCAGTTTCTCCTCCCCTTCTCCCCAGCCTCTGTAGCACTCCTCCACTCCAGACAACAGGAACTTTTCTTTCTTTAAAAAGGAAAACAAAATGGTGTTATTGTTTAAGGTTGGCTCTCACTATGTAGCCCCAGCTGGTATGGAACTTGATATGTAGACCAACCAGGCTGCCCTTGAACTCACAGTGATCCACCTGCCTCTGCCTCCTATGTGCTGGGATTAAAGGTACCACTACTGGTAGAAGGAACTTTTGAAACAACCACTCAGCTGAGCTTTCTCCAACAAATGCTCTGGGCATGCTCTTCCTTATTTTCTGGCCCAGGACACTCACCCTGGATCCCTGTGGCCCTCAGGGTACTCCATCCTGCCACCTACTCAAAGCACAGGAACACCAAGGTCTGTGTCCATCAGCCTCTCCCAAACCTACCCAGAGCTCTATCACATCTGACCCCAAACCCAGGCGTCACTGTCCAGGAATGAGCACCTCTCCTTTGCTCGATGGCTCACCTCTCAGCCAGAGGGTTTAATGAAGGGTGGAGTGACTGCCAGCTGAAGACCTCCAGCCTGTGTCTGGATCCCGGGAAGGGAATGCTAGAGAGAGCTGATGAGTTTACCCTAAGAGAAGATGTCTGGCTACTTCAGTTGGTCAGGTCTGTGGGCATAGCAGTCCACACAGTGACAAAGTGTCATGTGAGAAGAAACTAGGAAGGACATGAGAGTGATTTTTTCCAGAGGCTGGATGAAAAAAGGGAAAGAAGTAAGGACTGCGTCACCACTGTCCACCGGTCCTGCTTCTTTGGAACCACCTCCACCTTACCATGCCGTGATACCCATCACCATCACGCTCTGCACTGTAACCTTTAAACTCACTCCAAGACACTGCATCCCTCCCCAGGAAGTGCTGGACCACGCTATCTGCATGCCTGGATGGTCTCAGTCTCTATCTGGCCGCTTTGGGTTTAGATGATTGTGCTAGTGCATCTTGGGAAACAGAACAGCGATGCCTTTTCCTTCCCCCTTTCCCTGCTTAGTTCCTCCTCAGTTTCAGGTAGGTTAGAGTGGTTTTTTCCTCCAAGATTTATTTTATTTTAATTACATGCATGTTTGTGCACATGCACGAGTGCGGGAACCCACTGGGGTCCGAAGAAGGTACCAAATCCCCTCTTGGAGCTGGAGAAGCAGACAGTTGTGAGCCACCTCACTGTGCTGGGACCCAACTCCAGTCCTCCGCAAGAGCAGCATGTCCTCTTAACTGCTGAGCCGTCGTCTGTCTGGCCCCGGTTAGAGGGTTTTAACCTGCGCTTCACAGGGAGTTTCACAGGCTCTGGGAAATGCTTGCCATCCCACACATATTTGTGTGTGTGCATTTGCATGTATACGAGAGACAAGAATGCTCTGGAGGCAAAATTCACCATCTTTCCCCAGCATACATTTAAAGAGACCTTCAAAGATAAATATAAGGAGCTGCCAATTGGCCTTTAGTCTATTCTGTGCCATCTACATAGGTGATAGGCAGGGCAATGAGGGGGATTGAGATGTCTGCTGGCCATGGTAGTCAGGACCCAGCATGGTACTGTACCTTGGAGGCAGCCATCACAGCGGCTGTGGCCGCCACGTTCAAGCCCCGCTTCCCAAAGTGCACAAGGGCATCATAACTTCGATCTTTTGCTTGGACCAGGCAGTCATCGATTTCCTGTCAGAGAAGAAGCAGAGCGGGCAAGTTCAAATACGTGTCTGCTCATCCTCTCTTCCCAAGCAATGGTCTTGGCAGCTTGCATCATGGCTGACTCCCACCGGCCTGTAACATCAGAGACACTTTGAACTTGTGTTCATGGATAGGAGGGTGGTGCAAAGGGGAATTCTGAATAAGCAAACACATAATAACCCACGGACCCAAGGCCTGGGTTATTGCTAAAGTTCCTCTAAGGTCTAGGGCTGCAGACAATCCTGCCTTCCCCTGAGAAGCTGCTCCACAAGATACAGAATCCTGCGTGACAAAATGCCAGGAATGGAGCTTCAAACTCAGACCTCAACTAATTGGTGGCAAAACTTGGGGTTTATTTTGTTTGGTTTTATTCTATTTCTTAAAAATGTATTTTATGTGTATGAGTGTTTTGCTTGCACATATATGTATTGCATCATATGCATACAGAGCCTGTGGATGTCAAAGAGGGTGTCAGATCCCCTGAAACTGTAGCTACAGAGAGTTGTGAGCCACCACCTGAGTGCTAGAAACAGAACTCAGGTCCTCTGGAAGAGCATCCAGTGCTCATAAATGCTGAGCCATCTCTCTAGGCCCTCTTTGCAGTTTTCTCTTCCAGAAAGGGACAATAACAATGGCGCTTCACTGGTGGTGCGTGATAAGAGTTAACAGGGCTTTGGCTACCACATGTGATAGCCTCCATTGTCTTCATCTCCAAGACAGGTGATGAGAACCTTGTAATTCTCCAGTTCTGTTATTCTAAGATGTTGCTATCAGGCATTATTTTTGTGGATAAGGGACATCATTTTAACAGATGCGGAAACGAAATAAATTAAAGCCTTCTGGCGTCACACAACAAGGGAAAGGCAAGGTGGAAAACTGCACTCAGTCTTCTGACCAAAGCCAAGTGCAATCTGTTTCTTTTGATTCTGGGTCATCTCTGGTATATTCTTTTTATTTCCTTGTTTTGTGCTTTTCATTGTTCTGAGCAGGTGGGTGTTTGGTAAAGCACAGTGGTTTGTTTTAAAGTGCAGTAAGCTATGTGGCCTCAGTTAGTGAGTTTCCTTTGCTCTGAGGTGGGGGTGGGGGAAGGTGGGGAGTCCTTGTTCACAGTCCTCAGGAGGTCCCAGCCTCCGTGATCCAGCAGACCAAAGGAGTGATCCTTGGCAGGTCTGAAGAAACACCACTTTCCTGCAACGAACAGGATAAAGCTTCAAGGAAAACAACATTTGGGGAAAAGGAGAGTGGGATTTGGAAACCGAGTCAGGAGCTATCTAGTTTCCTAGCCCACCTCTCTGAGACAGGAGGACCTGTGGGCGTGGTTCGAAGGGGCTGGTCAGGGCTGTCTACAGCTGCCCAGTTGCCCTGTCACCCATAGCCTTCCCGAACAGGAAGTCCTGGACTTGAGGAAGTGGGCTTCCCACCGGGCTCTGTGTTTGGTCGTTCTCCCGGTGCTGTGAGAGGGTACTTGACCACCCTATGCGGGAGGGATTTTATCTTGAGGGCTTGAGATGGCGGAGTCCGTCATGGTGGACAAGGCATGGTGGTGGGAGCTGCTCAAAGCCACAGCGGCGAAAGCACGTGGCAGCTGTTCCTTACGGGGCACAACCAGGAACAACCAGGAAACAGAGCTCTCAGTCCACCAGCGCCAGGGGCAGAGATAAACTTGAATTCCTGCCCCACAAGCCGTATTTGATTCTTAGGCCCCGTATCCAAAAGATTCCAAAACAGCACCGCCAGGGGGGGGGGGGCGGGGAAGGAGGGGACCAGCTCCTCAAACACAACAGCCGGTGGGGATAGTTCACATTAAAGACGCAACAGGTGCCTGTTTTACTTTAAAGGACTCTACTATGAAATCCAGTTAGAAAAATAATGTAATCAACGAATTCTGCACCGTTAGAATCACTTAACCTGAGTAATGCCCCTCTCAGGAATTCATGACGCTAAAAGAAGGAAGCGAATGAGTCCCATGTGTGGTGCTGAGTGCAGAATTACCTGTGACAGGAAGAAGACAGGAATAGTCTCAGTATTTAGAAGGAAACAGTCTGTCACGATGGGTCATCGGAAAGACCATGCAGCCGGGGCTTATAGCCACGTTGATGAGCTGTAGATTACATGTCACGTTTATGATTCCAGGATACAAATGACTCTCTGCTTGGAGATTCATCCTATTTATTTACTTACTTACTTAGCGTGTGGGGGAGGATGTGTGCACTCATGCATGCACACTGGGTGTCTCCCTCTATTGCTCTACTTCTAAAACTATTTGAAATTTACAGTTATTGAGTATGTGTGGATGTGGCATGTGTGAGCGTGCATGCACGTGTGCGTGTGTGTGTGACTGTGTGTAAGAGGGGAGTGCACAGGCCATGGTGCATGTGTGGAAGGCAGAATACAACCTTCAGGAGTGGAATCTCTCTGTCTCTTATCTGGGTTCTGGGGCTTAAACTCAGATTGTCAGGTTTGCAGCTAGCACAGTTATACTATGGACCATTTAACTGGCCTTCTAAGCCTTAGTCTTTTGAGACAAGGTCTCTCATTGGGCCTGAAGCTCACCATTCGGCTAGGGTAGCTGACACTGAGCCCCTGGCATCTGCTTGTTTTTCCTGGCCCCTCCTCACCCTCCTGGTGCTGGGGTTGCAGACACACGCCATGCCTATCTTTTATGTGCTGCTGGGGGCATGAAGACAGGTCCCCATGCTTACACAGCACTGAGCCATCTTCTTGGTTACAAATATTTTACTTATATTAAGATTTATTTGCTTATTTAGAGACAGGATCTCAAATAACTCGGACTGGCCTGGGAGACACTGTGTCTCTTAAAATGACCTTTGAACTTCTGCCTCCGACTTCTGAGTGCTGGGATTACAGGTGTGCCACAGGCCTGGTTTTGGACAATATCGGATGTTAAATCCTGGGCTCTGTGGGTGCGGGGCAAGCATTCCGCCAGCTGAGACATCTCCCCAGCCCTCTGTGTTAAGTTTTTGCTTATCGATTTGTTTCTGAGATGATCTTCTTGTACTGCCTGCACTGGTCTTGAACTCCTTGGCTCTATAGACTTTCCTCTCTTGTTCTTGCAAAGGTCTGGGACTGCGTGTGTGTGCCATGGTCCCCAGCTTAATTTTGACAACAATTAAAAGAGTCTATAAAAAATGGTAAAGAGTATATGTAGATATCTTTATAATTTTTTTAAAAAAAGGTTGAATTTGGATAGTTCATTCATTCATTCATTCATTCATTCATTCATTCATTCATTCATTCATTCTTTGAGACAAGCACCTGTATGTTCCCGACGGCCTGAAACTCACTATGTAGACCACTCTTGTTGGCCTTTAACTTGTGTCAGAAAATCCACCGGCTTCTTTCTTCTGAGTACTGGAACTGGACATATGTGATCTTTGAGGAGTTAAATTATTAATCTTTTTATTTTTTAATTTATGGAAACATTTTATCAATAATGATAAATAACATCTTTATATGATTTCACTGCTTTTTTTGAGACATGATCTCACTTTGTAGCTCAAACTTCTAATCTTCCAGCCTAAGCCTCTTGAGAGCTAAGAATGGAGGTGTGAGCTGCCACGTCCAGCTGCTCTGTCTAAACATGTACAGATGTTCACTTTCCACACCATCCCCCAGACGGGGTTTCTCTGTGTAGTCTGGCTGTCCTAGAATTCACTCTGAAGACCAGGCTGGCCTTGAACTCAGAGATCTACCTGCCTCTGTCTCCACCCAGCTAAACATACACTTTTTTAAATGAAGAGATTACTTTCATATTTCCTTGTCAACAATATTGTCATTGGTGTATTAAGAATACGACCTATGGGCTGCGGACATAGGCCAGTAGTAGAACATTTGCCTAGCATTCACAAGGCCGTGCCCCAATCTTTAGCACAACAATAAAGAAGAAATGTTACTGATTGTGTGTGTGTGTGTGTGTGTTAGATGTATGTGTAGATGTTCACATGTCTATGTCTATGTGTGCATGTGTGTATGTGTGTGTGGTGCCTGCAGAGGTCAGAAAAGGAGGTAGGAATGACAGATGTTTGTAGGCTACCACGTGAGTGATGGGAAGAACCCAGGACTTCTGTAAGAGCAACAAGTGCTCTTAACTACTGAGCCATCTCTCCAGCCCAAAGAATACTGAATTCTATCAAAACATCTATTGAGATAACTACAGATTTTGAACCGTCCAGATATTGCTGTACTATCCATGATAGCAAGATGGAACTAATCCAGATGCTTACCAGTGGATGAATGAAGATATGGTATATATACATAATGGAAAATTATTTTTTTTACTCAAAATAATAAGGAATGATAACCTTTATAAGCAAAATGGATCACAACGGAGGACACTGGATAAAGTGAGATATATATATATATAGATATATATGTAGGCCTATTAAAGGAAACAACTTACCTGCTGAGGTAAAGAAGAACCACAGGGGTCTCTTGGGAAAAAACAAACCAACAACCCACAACCCACAATCCTTCCTACACAGGACTCTGATTTCTTTTGCTAGGAGCAGTGTCAATTACCTTTTCTTTTGAAGACAGTGTGGGATGGACAAACTTCCTGTACAGGAGGCTGGATCCTTTTGTATAGGGCGACAGCAGCCAGGCTACAAATGCTATTTTTAGTTCATAATAGAATGGAAACCTGGAAGAATAAGAAAGTACACTTTCCATTAGGTTCTCAGCAACACTGCCTAAGGCCCATAAAAGACTGGGGCTGGCATGAATGCTTCCCACCCCGCGTACAGACAACAGAGTCCCAGATTGCTCACCCTCCTGTGGAAGGTGCGTGTGCACACACGCACTCGCATACACCCAAGACCTCTCCCTGAAAGCCAACTCATGTGTCTGCTTTTTGTTTTGTTTCTGTTTCTCAAGAAAAGCAGGAAGGCAGGTTCGCTCCAGCAATGACAGCATGGCCTTGCCTGGCAGCAGCTGGCAGGCTCTGCAGGGCTATGCTCACTGGGGTTGGCATGTGGCTCTAGAGGCAGCTGGCAGGGTCTGCACACTGGCCAGGGAGAGGAGCCCAACTCCTACCAAACAGGAGAATCCTATCGATTCTACTCAACTCAGTGGCAGGCACAGAGATCTCAATCTTTTTTGTGTGCCAAAAGAAAGAAGGGTGTGATAACATAGAATCGTGGACTCCTATATACCCTTAGGCCCATTCACTCATTCAGAAACCTGGACCCCTGCCATATTACATAAGGCAGTGTGTGTGTGTGTGTGTGTGTGTGTGTGTGTGTGTGTGTGTGTGTTGGGGGGGTGGCAAAAAAGATCCCTGCGATCCTGGAGCTGCCAGAAAGAGACAAGATGCTGGAATCTTGGGCTGAGGAGGTAGTGAAGTCAGGAAAATGCTTGCTTTGCAAGTGTGATGGATCTACAGATGCTACAAAGAAAGAAAAAGCCAGATGTTGTAGCATGTACTTGCAATCCTAGCATGGGAGAGGCAGAGACAGACAGAGGTTAGCCAGTTTAGCCTGCTTGATGAGTCACAGGCCACTGAGACCCTGCATTAAAAGAAGAGGAGGAGGAGGAGAAAGAGGAAAGAAGAGGAAGAAGAAGAAAGAAGGAGAAGAGGAAGAGGAGAGGAAGAGAAAGAAGAGGAAGAAGAAGAAAGAAGAAGAGGAAGAGGAAGAAGAGGAAGAGGAAGAGGAAGAAGAAGAAGAAGAAGAAGAAGAAGAAGAAGAAGAAGAAGAAGAAGAAGAAGAAGAAGAAGAAGAAGAAGAAGAAGAAGAAGAATTCTAAGATGTACTGTCCAGGTCTGACTTTGGGTCTGTGCTGTATATAAGATGCGGTATATAAGTTCAAACTGGCCCTTTTAGAGTAAAGAGCTTTTCTTCTCCAGAATGGAAATATTTGTCAACCCCCTTAAATATAAACAGGACACTATTTATTATTCAACATCTTTGAGAGAAGCCTGTATATCAATGCAAATAATAGTTTTAATTGCACCAGAAATAGCTGTATTAATTTCTTTTGGGGGTAGAGGATTAAGACAAAGTCACATGCAGCATAGGCTGGTCTTAGACTTGATCCTGCCTCTACCTCCCAAGGGCTGAGATTAAAAGATGTGTATTTAGCAGGTTTGTTGCTTATAAGTGAAAAAAGCCAAACAACTCAATGTCCATCAAAGGGATATTAAGTGGCTCAGTGGCTAAGAGTGCACAGTGCTGCTGCAGAGGACCTGAATGTGGTTTCCAGTACCACTTTAGGCCACTCTCAACCACCTGTGACCCCAGCTCCCCAAGGAACCTGCACGCGTATGCACGTACTCACTCTCCCAAGACCTGCACACAATTAAAGATAAGAGAGCTTTGAATTTTTAAAAAGGCACGCTTATTAAATAAGCTATACTTTAGCTGGACCATGAAATACTATACGGCCATTGTAAACTAAGTAGATATATTTATGAAAGTATTTCAAAAATGAATTCAATAAGCAAACAGAACTGTTATGTCTAATATTATTTTAAAAAAGAGCAACAAAACTATATAAGCACTACACACCCGAAATTCCAGCACTCAGGAGCCTGAGGGAGGGCGTGTGAGTGGGAAAGGCCAGCCAGGTCCACTGACACATTGTCTCCCGGGGGACAAGCTTGCCGTACAAGGTTGGTGCCCCACACTGATCCCCAGGATGCACACAGAAGTGGAGGGGATGACTGACTCTACAGATGCTAACTTCGACACGTGTACCATGGCACGCTCATACTCATATACATCACACATTTGTCATCCGCGGCACACACGTACACACAGAGACTAATACATGAAACATAAAAATGTCTGTGCAAGTGTGTGTTAACATGCCAACAAATTTTGGTTTTGTTTTTGTTTTCTTTGAGACAGATTCTCTCTATGTAGTCTTGGCTGTCCTGGAACCCAGGATGGCTTCAAACTCACTGAGATCTGCCTGCCTCTGCCTTAAGCGTACTACAATTAAAGGCAAGTGCCATCATGTCTGGCACCAAAAGTGTTTAAAGAGGACATACAGGTGTGAATAGTGGTTATGGGTTAGGAGAGAAATGTGTATGTTTTTTTTTTTTAATTTTCTTTTTCTTTTTGCTTTTTCAAAACAGAGTTTCTCTGTGTAGCCTTGGGTGTCCTGGGCTCATTGTAGGCCAGGCTGGCCTCCACCTGCCACTGCCTCTCTGAGTGCTGGGATTACAGATGTGAGCCACCGTGCCCTGCGTGAAACATGGCACTTTGCTTGCACACTTTGTCTTGTGGTGCTGGGCTGAGCCCAGGACCTCACTCATACAACACTGCTGCTCAACCCCCGGGCTCCAGGCTCCGCCCCTTCCATTGCATACTCCATCCCTGCAGGAACTCTGCCTGTGTCCTACGCCACAGCCCGAGGGCCTTAAACAGCCCTGGCTCTTAGGGAGCTGATCAAGGACATCAACTTGAAGAACTTATGGAGCACTGTATTAAAAATGCTCCAGTTAACAGCCCAGCCCTGGTCCTGCTCCTCTGGCCCAAGGAAAGGTTGAGGTCCTTTCCCACCCCTCCCCACAGTGGGCAAAGCTGCGCTGTGAAATGCCCCATCCCTGGAGCGCTTACCAGCAAAGGAAGATATCTGTAAACGTCTCCGCTGTGGTGAAGAGGGCAAATATGATCCAGTACATCATCCATTTGACCTGTCGAGGGAGAGCAGAGTTGACAGACAAGGTCATGGCTGCCAGTGCCAAGGCAGTGGACACCGAGGCAGGTCCAGGCATGCCCCCTGCACCTGCCGTACCCTCCCCAGACTTCCCTAACTCGGGTGAGGTCTGCTCCACACCTTCATGCTGAAAGCAAACAGGCGGTTTCACAATCAGAGGAGGATTCCAAGCAAAACCCTTGGGGGAATCATAGATTTAACCCAGGTTAGTTGTGCCTGAGGCCCAAAAGCTAGGGAAGGAACTTGAGCCTGATTAGCTGCAAGTTCAAGAGGGGAGAACCTCAGAGAAGGGAAGCCAAGAAGAGGAACACCCCCCAAAACTGACACCATAAGCTGTCTCCAGCATCTTGGCTGGAATCCCAGTGCTCAGGATTCTGAGGCAGGAGGATCATGAGGTCAGCCTGGACTACAGAGCAAGAATCTTTCACAAAAAGAAAAAAAAGCTCTTGGCTGGACCTGGAGCTGGAAAGGACCAAAGTAAGATCTCAAACAGGGCCTTAACTATGTATAAAAATGAAATTTTAAAAAGATGAAGGAAGTATCAGGAAAACAAAAGACTGAGCGGAGCATCCTGTGGATGCCAGCTGCCCAGCCGAGTTCCAAATTATCCTGGTCTTCAGGTATCCTAATTTTTTTTAACATTGTTGGCTAGTTTTACAGCCTCAAAGGTTATAGAAAACTAATCTCAATAAAAATAGTTTCCATTAGGATGCAAATCAATTCTGTCCCTGGGAGGCACACCTGAACTTTCCCTCATTCCAACCTAAAGAATCAGTTTACTATTAGTTAATAGATTAATTCCAACAGTTTCAGTTTTGAGAGCCGTGTCTCAGTCATTATTAGCGTCTCCCCAAGGACGGTGGGTGCTACATAGTTAATAGGGATTGGTTATTAAGGAAATTGGGATGGGAGGATCATCCAACAACTGTAATCATATGCATCCTTAAGGAGAGAATTCTTCCCAGCTGTGTGTGTGTGTGTGTGTGTGTGTGTGTGTGTGTTCCTTTGGAGGACTGCTCAGAGATGCAAAACTGCTGGCTCCAAAGAATGAGGAAGGGGTGTGTTCTTGGGGTTCGGTGGGGCAGCTTCCTGAGCTGCAAAGGCGGGAAAAGAGACTCTCTCTGCAGAGACACAGCCCAGCCTGTGAAGTCTAATAACATAAGCTGTTGCTGGCTGTGGTGGCGCACACCTGAAGCCCCAGCACTCAGGAGGCAGAGGCAGGAAGATCTCTGTGAGTCTGAGGCCAGCCTGGTCTACAGAGTGAGTCCAGGACAGCCAAGGCCACACACAGAGAAACCATCTCGAAAAACCAAAAAAATTAAAAGTATGTTGGGTTATGCTGGGAAGCTCATGGTAACTTGTTACAGTAACAAAAATCTGATACTTGTATGAAAACTTTAAAATAATAACAAAAGAATATAAAAGTGAGAGTACAGCCACAAGAGTTACTCAGCATTATAAATACTAGTTGTCATGAGGGAGTTATTGTTATAGTCTTCAAATTTTGCATTATCCTGGGCTAAAGAGCTAGCTCAGCCATTAAGCATATGGCCTGTTCTTCCAGAGGACCTAGGTTCAATTCCCAGCAACTACATGGTGGCTCTCAACTTTCTGTCACTCCAGTCCCAGGGATTTGATGACCTTTTCTGGCCACTGAGGGTGCTACCTGCACACAGTGCACTTATGGATAAGCAGGCAAAACACCCATACCCGTAAAATAAATAAATTTGCATTATCCAATAACCTATGTTTTTGTACATATTTTATAAATTATAGATAATAAATATAATCTCAAATGTAACCAACTTAAGATAATAAATAAATATTTTTAAAAGCTAGTTCCAGTCCCTTGACTCATCTCAGGGAAATGGTGTGAAGCAGCTCTCAGGGAGGGGCTGGCGGGAAGGGCTTGGGACCGTGTTTGGTAGACAACAGCGGTCCTAAGAATGAGGGCACAGTCACCAGCTGGGCATGGGAATTACTGGACCTGGAGAGGAAGGAGAGGCTGGAGTCACAGCAAAGTCCCAGGCTTTTTCCTGGACAAATGGGTCTCTGAGGTGCCAGAGCTGAGAACCCTCAGAAGAGAAGCATCATCAGGAAATTCCCTAGACTGAAATAGAAGCCATTTCTTGGTGGACCCAGGGCTGGGAACATCAGGGATCGGGTGTGTGTTTGGGGATAGAAAATACTGGGAAAAAGGACTGGAACTGGGATCATTTTGGCGGCAAGGTAGAAACCCAGTGCAATAGAAACTCCATGGAACCTACAAGAGTGACCCTAGCAAGACTCCTAGTAGTGGGGGCCATGGAGCCTGAACAGGCCGTTTTCTTTAACCAGGCAAGGCCTCAAGTGGAGGGATTGGAACACCAACCCAACCATGAAACCTTCAACCCTCAGTTTGTCCTAAGAGTGTTCTGGGACCAGAGCCCAGCAGAGCCATCATCAAAGAGACCAGAGAGACTTCAACCAGCAACTGACGGGAGCACATAGAGAGTCCCACAGCCAAACAGCCTGAGCTCAGGGAGTCCTCCGAAGGAGGGGGAGGAGGGATGTAAGGAAACAGAATTGGCTGTGACTCATGGGAACTTGAGAGATCAGGGAACCTGTAGGGAACCTAAGTCCTCTGCATATGTTATGACTGAGCAGCTTTGTGGTTTTTGTGGGGATCCTAACAGTGGAGCGGGGGGTGGGGGTGACTGTCCCTGGCTCTTTCGTCTGCCTATGGGACTCTTCTCCTCCTCCTGGGTTGCTCTGTCTAGCCTTGATGTGATGGTATGTGCCTTGTCTTATTGTAGCTTGTTATGCAGTGTTTGGTTGCTGTCTCTGGGGAGGCAGAGGGGAGAGAGGCAGAGGGGAGAAAGGCTGAGGGAGGCTGGAGGCAGGGGAGGAAGGTGAAACTGGTTGAGATGTAATATTTAAGAGAATCAAATGGAAAAGAGAAAAAGAAAAAGACATTTTCTAGGTCCTATGGCCTGTGGCCATATCTAAGGGAGACCGTCTTGATTGTTAATTAACGTAGGAGGGCTCAGCCCACTGAAGGAAATACCATTCCCAGGAAAAGTGGTACTGGACTTTATAAGGAAGTTAGCTGAGCAGGAGCCTATGTGAGCCGTCAAAACAGCGTTCTCATGGTTTCTGCTATACTTCCTTGGCCGGCTGAATTCCTTGGTTAGAGGCACTGCTGCGTGACTAGCAAGCAGGCCTGCCTTTAAGATCCTGCTTTAGTTCCTGCCCTTGCTTCTCTCAATGATGGACAGGGACCAAAGTGTAAGCCAAATTCTTTTTTTCTGCAAAACTGCTTTCAGTCAAAGTGTTTTCTTTTTTAGAAATTTAAGGTTTACTTTTATTTTTTAATTCTTCTCTGTCTCTGTCTGTCTGTCTGTCTGTCTGTCTCTCTCTCTCTCTCTCTGTGTGTGTGTGTGTGTGTGTGTATAACAATTGTGTTTTGGTGCCTTCAGAAAAAGGCATCAGAACTGGAATTACAGGTGTTGGAAGCCACTCAGTCCAGGTGCTGGGAACTGAGCCCAGGTCCTCTGGGGAAACAAGTGCTCGTAACCATGGAGCCATCTCTCTAGCCCTAGTCAAAGCATTTCATCACAGCAACAGAAATAAAACCAAACAGACTGCAAGACACAGCACGTTAGCAGTGTAGGAGCATGTGGGATGCTCACGACCCTGAGTGTGCTAGGGGGTGTTTGAGAGCATTAGGACATCGAACATATGTGACTGCGTGTCTGTGCGTGCATGTGTGTGTGTGTGTGAGAGAGAGAGAGAGAGAGAGACAGTATAAGAACAGAGGAAGGGGGCAGGTCCCCCTGGTACTACTCAGCTCTGTCTCCCAAAGCCATTTTTACCTAGAAACCTTCTAAACTTAACTGCCAACTGTCCCCCATGGGGAAAGTGTGCACACACCAGCCAACACAAACAGCTGTTCTGCTTGTCAGTTAGTTTTCACTCTAAATTAATGAATTGCCATTCTGGCCATACACCAGGCTCCTGTGAGTTTAGTCAGCACATAACAATTTACCAGGGTTTGATCTTTCCCAGTTGGCTCAGCCCTGCTTTGCAGAGGACAAGCCTTGCAGTCCAGAGACCTCAGTGAGGCCTCTGTCCTGGCACAGCTGCTGAGCACCACAGGTGGGAAGGGGTCAGGAGGGGTAGGGCTGGAAGAACCTGCCTATTGCTTTAGCCCCGGCTGTGTCAGTTGAGAACCAGGAGCCTCTGTGTTTGTGACTTCCAGCTATTTATAGCATGCACACCGAGCTGTCCTCACACATACCAGGGATAGGCCTCCAGAAGTTACCCATTCCGGATCCCCTGCTAGGAGCAGCTGAAGCAAGCAGTTCTGGGAAATGGGAGAAAGGGGGCTGAGCTTCGGCTGAAGTAAACCTGGAGGTGTCCGTCATGAAGACTTCTTGGGAAATCCATGAAAATAATGGCTTTCAAGATAACTCTGAATTAATTCATACTTTTCAAAGACTCTACTTCTGTGTGTGTGTGTGTGTGTGTGTGTGTGTGTGTGTGTGTGTGTGTGTGCGTGCCTGCATGTGTTTGTGGGCAGGTGCTTAAAGAGGTCAGAAAAGGGTGGCAGATCTCCTAAGCTAAAGTTACAGGTGGTTGTGAGCCTCCTAAAATGGGTGCTGGGATCTGAACCAGGGTCTCTGTAAGAGCAGCCAGGACTCTTAACCACAGAGCTGTCTCTTCAGGCCTTGAATTATTTATTTATTTATTTTTTTACCTACATCCTAGGATGAGCAGGGATAATGCTGGGAGCACTGACCATCAATGATTGCAATCCTCTAAAGAGCGAGTCCTCCCTACCCAAACTTGAAAAGCAGCATCTTCCAAGGGGAAGAGGAAGAGTGACTGCCGCTGCCCTGCTGTTCAGACGATGACCTGAGGCTCTTGGAGGTTGAAACCCTTGCCAGCATATACACTGCACCAATGAATTTTCAGACCTAGGACTTGGCAGCTCAGTCCCTTTATGACAAAATCCACATCCTTCGCACTTTGACCGGGCTAGTGCCCTACAAGGGAAAGGACACTCACGTCTTATCCTTCACTCGGCATGTCTTGGTCAATGGGGTGGCTTAATAGGAGGTAGCTGGGATCACCAGGAATGGGGCTGGGGGCACCCAAATCACTCAACAGTAGTTAGGGCAATCCTCCAACCAGGGAATCCTCCCCATCCCACTGCCATGTGCTCATCTCTCTGCAAAGGGCTGCAGGGAGATAACTGCGAACACCTTCAACCTCAAAGAGCTCACAGAGCAACAAGGCTCACACTGTAGGTGTTGGAAGGTAGGCTGGAAGAGGGTCAGAACCGAGAGCTGGGAAACAGCCCGGTCGGAAGGCTCCTCAGACACGGGCACCTTCTCTCAATGTGGGCTTCAGGCCTTCCCAGATGAGGAAACCGAGGCTGGCAGAGAGGAAGTCACCCGTGGCACCCGGCTTCTAGTCCCAGATAGATTTCCTCTCGTACCTCTCGGCTTTCCTCACTTCAACACTCAGGGCCTAGACAGGGGACAGTTTTGGATGGGGACAGAGCTTCTGAGAAGTCACTTGAGAAGAAGGGTGATGAGGGTTCCTCCTGCCACCAGGACCCACAGCAAGGCCACGTCTCCCTCTACTACTTCACCCATCAGCCCCGCCCCCAACTGAGAGGTTCTACTCACATATTCTTTAATGTCCTTGGACTTGACGGCCTTGTAGGAATAGTACGCAGGATAAAGGGTGCCGAATATAAGCCTGGAGAGGGGAGACAGAGGGAGGAGAGATGTGAGTTCACCTGTCCTGACTGATGGCATTGCACATCATCGGCTCCGGGGGGCTGGTCTCCCCTGAAGCTCTCCTGCTCACTGCTAGACTGCTCTTAGAGACACCTTGTCCCGAGACAGCCACCCACCCACTTCCACCTTGGCCTGGGCAGCGAAGGAGCTGTGTAAGGCAGGATGACGTCCGGTGCTGGTCCCCTTCCGCAGCTCTGCAAAGCCAGTAATCATCGGATTTGACCTCAGCATCTCGCAGCCAGTGTAAGCTTTTCGAGCCACAGATCTAATCAGGTCAGCCTCTCCTCTCATCAGCATCCGTCCACTCTGCCTTCACTTGCTGCTCACTTCAGACGCAAGTTGAATAGTTCGCCAGTTGGCTCATTGTGTCTCAGCCCTCACCAGGGTAAGTTTTTAATGCCCAGACCTGCAACCGAGCTCCATCAGCCAGGGGACCCTCTACTCCCTCATTCTTCCTACCTTACCTTTGTCAGCACTGCTTTCTTCTGGAATCTTCCCTGTCCATCTTTTTCATTATTAATACCTACTCATGTATCAGATCCCAACTTCCACGATTCCCTGGACACCCCTCTGACAGGCAGCCTAGGTCAACCCTCCCCAACAAACTCTCAGCATCGTGTACATATTATCAGGGTATTCTGTCACTACTCCTTAGTGTTTTGGCTGAGAGCCCCCCCCCCCACCAGTGAACTATAAATGGCCCGAGGGCTGAGAACACTTTTTTAGGGAGAGGAGGCACAGAGCTTCATTATTTGGTTCAGGCTGACCTCCCCCGAAGATTTCCTTGGCTCAGCCTCCTGAGCACTGGAATTGGAGGCATGCACCACTATGCCCGAGAACAGGCGGTTTTAAAATAACAACTATTCATTTGTGTATCTATTCAAATGGGTGTGCCATGACACACATGTGTAAATCAGAGGACAACTTGTGGGAGTCAGTATTTTCCTTCCCAGCGATTGAACTCAGGTCCTCAGGCTTGGCAGCAAGCACCTTGACACACTGAGCCATCTCACCAGTCCAATATATACTTAGGTTTTGAGACAAAGTCTCCCTATGTAGCCTTGACCGGCCTGCAAGTTTCTACGTGGAGCAGGCTGGCCTCAGACTCCCAGAGTTCTGTTGCTTCTGCCACCCGAGTTCTGGGATTGAAGGTGTGCACCACCACACAGCCCAACAGACATTTTAAAATGAACACACGGAATGTCAGACCTCGAAGTGCTTCACACTTTTGCTCAAATGACAAAGCCACTTGCAACTGTCACCTCAGTGCAAACTGGCTGGGTACAAGAGCCACATAGTCTCAGGTGTTTCAGGAACTGGCTACCTCAGACAGAACTTGGGGGTGTATTTAAGAAACCTGCCTTTTTAGAAAGGATACCATGTGGAGGATACCCAAAGTCAATGCCCATTAGGCATTTAGAAGTCATATAGAGAAGAGATGAAATTAACCAAGAGGGGGCAGCTTTATAAGGAACACTGTGGCTGGGGGACAACAATGTATATGGAAAAACAGAAGTAACAGAACCACGCCAGGTGTGTGTGTGTGTGTGTGTGTGCGTGTGTGTGCGTGTGCGTGCGCGCGCCTGGGTCAGGTACTTTACAAACCTTATATATCTTAGACCTCTTTGGCCAAGGAACCCCACCCAATGCACATAGGGCCCCAGTCTCAGAGAGGTTGGCCTCCTGCTTTACCATTAAAGAATAGTAAAGCAGGGGCTAGACCCAGATAGACTGGCCCCTTCCAAGCCTTATTTCCTGTCACCGTTGGCTAAGATGAGAGGCATAATAAACCAGGTAGGCAAGAAAGAGGGACAAAAGTAGGCTGGAAGGGAGAGGAAGAGGAAGGATGGCAGGAATAAGGAGTAAGGAGGGAGGGAATTTAAGAAGGAGAAGACAAGGCTGGGCATGGTGGTGATCTGGGCATGGTGGTGATCTGGCATGGTGGGTGATGCTGGGCATGGTGGTAATGACCAGACTGACCTTGAACTCATGGAGAGCTGTCTGCCTCTACCCCGACAGCTGGGATTAATGGCATACAACCACCATGCCTAGCCTATAAATGTGATTTTTTTTTAAAGGTGGACCAAGGAGTGTGCATCCTGCCCAAGGGGCCCCAGGTCTAGGTACAGGTGACCCTATGGAGGAAGTCTCTTCAGCTACTCTGTCCCTATCTTGGCCTGTCCCACTCTCAAGCATCCTTGGGAATCAGAGGGTGCTTCCTTCCTAGCTGAGGCCTTCTCTGGCTTGTAACTGCTCCCACAGCCCTGAGATCAGGCTCCTCTGCCTGTCTGCCCACACTATCACAGCTTCCTACATTTTCTCCTCCCTGCTCTTATCCAAAGTACTTAGGCAGTCTCTTCAGGCTCTGTCTCTCCCACAGATAGGATGCTCCTCAGAGCCAGGGCCGTGCCTGCTTTAGCTGTAGTTGAGCCCTGTTCCTGGCATGGAAGGGCATCCCAGTGAATATGTGCTCACAGTGTGAAGTTTAGACAGTGGAGACATCAAGCCAGCCTCTTCCAGGGCATAGCTGTGGCCCCGCACCGAGGTCTGGGCAGTGAGGTGCGCCCCAGACAGCACCAGGCTGAATCAGCAAAGCCCCAGGCACAATGCCAGCAATTCTGAGGAAATAAGCATGCCGCTCCCTGGGCACAGATGCCGTGGTTGTTAGCCATGTCTGCCAGGCTGGTTTCCAGCCCTTGTTCAGAGGCAACATATAAACAGTGGAAGTTGGATCCAGGGGCCTCCTGAGTGGTACTGCTGTGAACTCCAGTGAGCCGAAACACCCTCTTAGTGGCCGGAGCTGGAAAGCTCAAGGGGCACCTAGCCAGGGAGGCCTGGGCTCCTACAGTCTCTTAGGACATGATCGGGGAACCAGCACCCCCAGCCTGGGACGCTGTTGACAACAGAGGGGGCCCTCCACAGACACCTACATCGGAGTCTCTACATATTCAAGAACATTTCACCTCCCCAGAGAAGATTAAAACGGCTCGTTCTCAGGAAGTCATGAATAAAGCAGGTCCTTGCCAAAGGGGTTTGGCATTTATGTCTGTTTACACCATGAACTATTCTGAGATTTAAGCAGGGAGAATGCCAGGGGGACAAACCCAGGGCCTTGCACCAGCCGAGGGCCCTACCACTGAGCTCCATACAGTCTGCCCCTTATGTCTGCTGTGAGCAAACGCCTCCTGACAGGCCGGCTTCCAGTGAGTCCCCCTGGACCCCAGCCTCACAGCTGCCCCTCCCTGAGCTTCTGATTGAAGTCCACAGGTGGCCAGCAGTCCTCACCTTCCAGGCGGCTCTTTCTGCTGCCTGACTCTTAGTGCCACACCTCTGAACTCTGTGAGCAATTTCTTTCCCTCCACGGAATCCTTTAAGATCCATCTCAAAGATGCCACTTCAAGGAAACCTGGGCGCCTCTCCCTCAGAAGCTTCTCCACATCTAGTTTTGTTCGTTTTTTGAGACAGCATCTTATGTTGCCAAGACCTATACTCTGAAGCTGAGGATGATCCTGACCCACCTCCTGATCTTCCTGCTTCTACCTCCTGAGTGCTGGGAGTGCTGGCTTCCATCCCCTGACTGTTTATGTGGTGCTGAATGAACTCAGGGCTTCATGAATGCTATTTGAGCTCTCTACTCACTGAGCAATGTCCTCAGTCTAGATACTCTTTAAAAAAATCTTTTCTTTACATAGGGTCTTGTGTAGCCCAGACAGGCCTCGAACTTGCTACATAGTAGCCAAATGTAGTCTTGACTTCCTGCTCCCCCTGCCTCCACTTCTCAGGGGCTGGGATTACAGACGTGTGTCACCATGTTCGGCTTGGTTCTATAGATTTTTCTGTACGTATAGGCCATGTTTTATAATTAAAGAATTACCTCCTTGTCCCCAATGCTTCCCAACGTCATGTGCTTTTGTTTGTGATAGCCCATCCAATTCTGTGCTACCCATAGACACCTGGGTTTGCGGTCATCTGTTGAAGCTCGGTCTACCTACCAGGGACCACACCTCCCTCTCAGCTGTCAAAAGCTCCTCAGCCAGGGGTGGGGAGTCATGAGTCCCTCCCCACTCGCCGCTGGAACGTTCGTTGACTGGCTTGATCTCACGCCAGCCCTCGTGCAGGAAACCAGGTGCTTTGAGTTCAGGAGTGAGGCATGTCCAGAGGGCACTGTTTGCTCTAATCCTCCCTAATCTCTGGCTTTTACAATCCCCTTCCCACTTCCGCTGTGGTCTGAGAGCTTTGGAGGAGAGAACGTGGCACTGACGTTCTAGTTATCAGCTCTTAGCCGTATTCTTTAAAGATTTACTTATTTTATTTGTATGACTGTGTGTACGCATGTGACTGGTGCCTGCGGCTGTCAGAAGAGGGAGTCAGATGGGTTGGGGCTGGAGTTAGGGATGGTTGTGAGCCAGTGTGGGTGCTGACACCTCAACCCTGGTCTTCTGCAAGAGTAGTTAGTTCTCTTAACAGCTGAGCCATGGCTCCAGCCCCAGAAACACTTAGATTTTTGAGACAGGGTCTATATGCACTTTCTAGTCTGGCCTCAAAGTCATGATCCTCTTATCTGGTAGCATTCAGGAAGCAGAGGGAGCCAGAGAGAAGCCCAGAACAAAAGATGAGTCTCGGGAACATCCTCACCTTGACCTACATCTTCCACCAAGGTCCCACCCAATGATGCCAACAAGTCATAAATCTATCAGTGGATTGACTGATTGACTAGGTCAGAGCCTTCCCAACCCCTTTGTTTCTCAATGATCAGCTCCACTTGCTGGTGAACCTAGCTCTCAACACATAAAGCCTTTTATTCGCAGAGGCACCTCATATCCACACCATGTGGACATTGTGTAACAGTGCACAGCATCTTCCACTATGTGATGTGAAACCACTTGGCAGTGCTGTACCAATTTCTACCTCTTCCTGCAAGTGTGAGCATTCTAAGGCTCCCCATTCTTGTCAGAACGA